TGAAGTGCCCTTCTCCCTCGCACCCTAATTCCCCTTTCCACATGACCCAACAGCCCCACTGCTGCTGAGCAGTTCCTTCAGCCTGCTGCCCTTCACCTGAAGCCCTCCTTCACTCTCACCACCCCCAAAATGCTCTACTCTGGAAAATTTCCTGAGACTACACATTCCCAAATCAAACAGATAAAAACCTTTTTTCTCATGAATTATTAATTTTCTGTGGCACTTCATATCGTGGCTTTTATGAAGTTCTCTTTTCTCAAGCTTAGGGGAAAATCACTCTTCCTTTCTCTCACTTCTCTTGCACTCTGGTCCTTCATCTCACATCCTTTCCTCGTCGTTATCCTGAATCCTCAACTTGGTGCTCTTCAGGGTTCTACTCGGTCACACTCTGAGTTTCTTGGAATAAATGTGTCCCCAGTCTGTGTGTTTCCAGTTTGGTCTGCCCATGGGAGCTATAGATTACGCACAGGCACTGCATACTCAACATCTGAGAGTCTTTCTGGGGTTATCTCTTCTAACAGTGATCTTTGTCTCAGGAAATGCTACAACCACCCGCGTAGTGCAACAGGTCCAGCAATCCAATCACTCATCTTTACTCCAACAATCACAAAGTCCAAAAGATCCACTATCCCCTTCCTCTGTAAAAAAAACAAAAAACCCCTGCGTCTTTCTCTTTTGCACTTTCCAGCTAATCTCTTGTCCTCCTTCCTCACTGTTCACTTGATTTCCCTTCGCATCCGACCACAGATTCCCTGAAACAAGAAAAGTAATTTACCTTTGCATTGCAAGCACCAACCTCAGGGAGTGAACACCAAGTCACTTAATAAATAAGCACTTGCACAAACGAAAGAAGAAAGTAATTTCCCCCCAAAGAACTCTTATGGATCTGCATAAAAAGACAAACGAAGATCCTTCCTTAAACAAGGAATCTCAGAAATCTGGGCCCACCGCTGGCAACGAAGGGTGACTGCCAAAGACGACGCCGGACGCAAAATACCATAAGGAGCGTTTCTGGATCCCAGGGGCCGCCGGGTTCAGGTCCCGTCAGGTCTTGGATGCGACAGCAGGGATGAAGTGCCAGGTCGCTTTTCAAAGGCACGAGAAAGCCCTGCTTACCCAGTACGGCGCCGTCCGGACCCTGGCGGCCATCCCCACGGGCGCGGAGAGCCTGGCGCCCCTCGGAGTCTCCTCTCTGCTGCCCCCGTCGGCGCGGCGGCCTCGGCGGGTGATGGGGCTGGAGGTTCGCACGCTGCTAGCAGCGTCTCGGGACGCCCTGCAGACCAGCACCCGGGCGCTGCCCCGGGCCTGAGCCCGGGACGGATGTGCCCCGCCCCTGTCCGCCGCCAGCCCCGCCCACCGCCTGCATTCCCTCTACACTAGGAGGAAGTGCGTCACAGCGCTACCTCCGGGGACGGAGGAGCGGAAGGGAGGTCGGAGCCTGAAAAGAATGCCCCTGCCCACCGCCAGCCCCCCCCCTCTACACTAGGGGGAAGTGCATCACAGCGCGACCTGTGGGGGCGAGGAGTGGAAGGGATTCCGCCCACGCTCCCAGGACCCCCGCAAAGGGCGAGGGGACCGAAGGCTGTTCTCCGCTCCACTTGGTTTTGAGTCCAAGTGGGAGGCAGAGTGACTTTACACCTAGTTTATGCAAGTCAGCAACTGCCACCTGCCCAACACCACCATAATGTACAAGTTGATCAATAACTCATTTCGTGCCCAGAAACATTTGTACAGGTGAACATCCGAAATCATATCAAAGACACCAGACAAAGGGGCTTATCAACCTCACCAGAAGTGACCCCCTTACCTAACCCTGTTATGGGGAGACGCCTCAGAAAGCACCTAAGTCTAAATTTCAAATCAAAAGAGAGCTTTATTTACCTGGATAGGTACTGTCACCCACTGTAAAGACTCAAACAGCTTCCAGGTCCATCCAAAGAAAATATAATCACAAAGACCGCAACTCAATGACTTGTTTAGCATCATGTAAGCTAGCCAATCATAGAAATTAGAACATTGATAAGTGGGACCTTGGGCTCTAGGCAGGACTGGAATTTTCCAATCAGCAAGCAAGTGATAAACAGAAGCCAAAATAGCATTAGCTTTGCAGTTCAGTTGACCACCGTCCTGGGTTCAAGCAGATAAATGCTAGACAGTCACATCCTGAACTTGGGCAGAGGTTGGCAGGGCGAGAATCTACTTCGAAGTTGTGTAGACCCACAAGGGCATTCAAACCCAGGATATAGCTCACCAAGACCACTGCTGCATCCTGAGTAGGGTACAATTCGTGGAGTACAAATTACAGAAAAACAATTTTTTTAAGAAAACAGCTTTATTTCAGTTTCTCAGAAACACCTCTTGTAACAGTGTTTTAAAGAAGGCAGCAAAATGGAGTCTGAGGCCTGTCTATGGCAGTTCTTGCTTTATAATTGTCTTATCTCACTTATCAAAATATTATAATCTATATTTTACACTCTTATTGATTGTATTTATTAGTATACACCACAACAAGCTCCATAAAAGGAGGAGTCCTCTACCAATCGTGGACATGGGGGCACCCTGACCTCATCACCTGATCATTTGTTACAGCCTTGCCCAGGAAAATCACAGTGATGAATTTAAAAATTCCCTGTTCTCAATCTTAAGCCCAGTTCAGTTTCTCTTCCAGTGACAAAAACAGAACCCACTCCAACTTGATACCTCAAGCTGACACCCTGAACCTTTCTTTTCACAACTCAGTTGGTTCTTTTAAAACCAGGGGCTGGGGATGTGCCTTTATGGTAGAGTGTCTGCCTGGCATGCACAAGGCCCTGGGTTCAGCCCCCAGCACCACAAAAACAACAATTAAAAAACCCGAATTTGACTACATACAGCAATAAATTTGCAAGTGGTCTGTGCCTTTGCCCTGTGGCTGCCTTAATACTTAACACTTCTTGTAGTGTGTGGGCATGCACGTACACACACACACACACACACACACAATATGATGTCTGACTTGAGTGTTTAAGATATTAGCAATTAAGACTGGAATGGAAAAATTAAAGAAAAGAACTTTAAAAAAAAAGGCTGGAAAGGAATAAAGAACTTGTGATTGCCAGGAGCATGACTATAAAGAGACCCTCCAATACTCTGAAAACTGCAACCAATGTAAGCAGTGTAGCTTGTGAATTTGTTATTCAATATATTCTGAAATAGTGGAAAGACATAAACATGTTTGGGCTATGGTAATGGCATAAATTGTACATGGCAGGCATACAAAAATAATGCTTTGTACTGTGAGTTGAGAGTCACAGAGTTGTGTAGCATTTTTGAACATCAGTGCACCAAATATGGTAACCAACTTCATAAAGGAAAAAATACAGTAGATGTAGAGAAATAACTAGAAGCACATCAATAATAGCAGATATATGAGCTCTTTATTCAAAACAGATGAAACAATTCTGTCCAATAATAATGTAACAAAGCTATCAATACAAATGAAGAAACTTTTCTGCCTGAAAATCTTTTCTAAAAGTGTTCTGTTAAATAAATATTGAATGAGGCAGGGGAATACAGATAAAACTGAAGGTAAATTTTTTTTTTAAGAATTTGTAGGAGAAGCTGCTTTTTTCAAATAAAGTGACCACAAGAAATTTCATAATCTTAACAAGTTGATTAGAGGCAATGTAGCTAAAAGTACATTATAATAACGTAGATAGTGTAGTAAACAAATGGAAACTCCTGGACTCTGCTCTAGGTAGTGAAGTGGCACCCACTTTCTCCACAGAAAAGACTTAACTGGGCTTCTCCAGAAATCTTCACCCAGTCTGATTTTAGGACTGTCAGCAAAAGAGTCTCTGCAAAAGAGTTCAATGTAGATAAACCTCCTATTTTCCTGTCGCCCTATTTTACTTGGCCACTGGCCAAGAAGATACCAGCACTCCAGGTGCTGGACACCCCTTACTAGTTTTTCACAAACTTATCTAGTATAGTACTTTGAAGAAATGTGCAAACAAGGCCTCTGGCCTTGAGCTGGGACTTCACAGAGATGTCTACATCTTTAAGATAAGTTACAAATGGGCTCCATGGTAACAGCTGGCAGGGGGAGCAAAGAAAGGGGAGAAGATGCTCTCCCCTTCTCAGGTGTTGTCCTTGAAGAGTTAACTTGCCCAAAACAGTGAAAGAAAAAAAGCTGCTTTTATGTGACCTCTGCAGACTGTGAATTTCTGAGCCCCTCCCCTTCCATGCTGGGTATAAAACTCTGAAACTCCCTGAACTCGGGGTTCAGAGGATTAATTGATTACAGCAAAAGCTATGCCCTCTGAACCTGGCTGAAGCCAAATAAAACTGTTTCCTGCTATCTTTGGTGCCTTGCCCCGTTTTCCCTACAACAGTAGTGATAATTGATATAACCATTTTGTTGACCTATTTGATGAAATCTAGTAAAGCTGAAGCTACTCATAACTTACAATCTACCTTTGGAGCTACTGATTCATTTACATATCAGAGAAAACTTGAATATGAAATCAAGACAAACATAAGAATGCTTCATGCACCATTTATAAAAGTAGATTAAGGGGCTGAGATTGTGGCTCAGTAGCAGAGTGCTTGCCTAGCATGTGTGAAGCATTGGGTTAGATCCTCAGCACCCCATATAAATAAATAAAAAATAAAAGTACATCAACAACTAAAATTACATATATATTAATTTTAAAAAGTATTTTAAATGATTTGATAGACAAATTCTATGCATATATATTAATTAATACATTCTAGAGCAGTTTAAATGAGTATATTAGATCTACACTAATCCATGATGATAAAACCCCAAAATTAAAATGTTAGATAAAGCAAGTGGCAACTTCCAGACTCAGCCTGAGACCACTGGAAACAAAGCCTCAGACTGGGAAGTACAGCCCCGCCCGAGCAAGCGGGATTCTGGGAAATGTAGTTCTGCACTGACACTTCCGCCGTCAGGCCTGGGCGTTGTGAGGCCTGCTGTCAGGGTGAGCGGAGTGGGGGCAGGCGGCACGGAGGCTGAGCGTGGGGAGGCCTCGGCGTCTGGCCTGTACTCCCCGTGACCCCTGTGCAGAAACCGCTCTGATTCAGTCTCGCGGAAGCCCGCCAGAGGCCCCCAGCGCGTGCTCCGGCAGGAACGGATTGTGGATAAGTGTCCCTGAGGTGGGTGTCGCGTGGCGTGGCGTGGCGTGGCGTGGCGTGGCGTGGCGTGGCGTGGC